AAAGTGAGCCGTCTTTGCTCGGTCGCCTGAAGCATCAGATTTACGACAGTACCAGCCTTTTCCCTCCCACGCTAAGCATTGTAAAACGAAGAAAACATTCTTGTTGATTTAAGCCAAAATGCGGAATACTAAAGTATTTTCGAAAATGGGCACATTATAAGTAAACATGCTGTAAGTAACGTTTCCGTTTAATTAACACAAAATTTGTCGTTCTGATCAGTAAACTCGACTGAAATTTCATTCACGTTTTAGTCGAGTTCATGGAGTTTTTTAAGCGGTTCTCTCAGCTTTTGTCGTCGTATTTTGGTTGTTTAACATTGGGCAAGAAAATAAATAAAGACGACAGTCAGAATGAGTTTTAACACGTACTCGGAAAATACAAACAATATATTTGTTGAGTCTATTTTCACAAAAAGACCAAACTTATAAACCTTAAACGCCAATGCAATTTGCCTTAGACTTCATTGAAGATTAATTTTCTGCTTTAATGGACGTCATACTCACGCCAAGCGCTATTGTTGTTTGCGGTAATCTACAAGCTTTAGCATTTGCAGTCATTATATTTAGTGCCTGTGGGGGGACAAGTGACTGGTATCTACGTTTGAGTTCAAACTAGTCATTTTCACCGAGAGAAGATTTACTCTACAAAGAATTGAAGATTAAAATTTGAGCTACTAAAATCTCTAAAACAAGCTAAAATTGTCAATCGTATTTTTTTTCAAAAAAAAACTTTTCAAGAAAAGCAATCTTTGCCTTAAATTTTAATCAACAGAGTTAAAAGATCCGTTTTAAATTACAGGCCAACGTTTTTTCATTAACTATTACGGAGAATAAACAAAGTTTAAACCGTGAGTAACTGGGAAGGTTGAGAGGCCCTACCGCGTAAAATTAATGTTTTATTACTTCATCATCCGACGGACCTTCTCGTTTGCAAACTAATTTAAGGAAAAGGATGACGAAAAGACAACTTAATTCCTTTTTAAAAATACACGAGTGATTCTTTTTATCTGTGTGAACGCACACGTTACTAAATTATTTAATATTACTTCATTCTAATCGGGTATTGAAAAGGGAAAATCGTTCTTGAATTCATTATAAAATACTCTTTTCAAAAATTGCAACATCATATTTTCACTATATACTACAAAAATACGAAAATCAATGTATACTGCAGTGCACAAAAGGGGGGTTATTCTAGGAAGTAAACGAGAAAGAACCTGGAGAACACATCAGTCAACATATCTCATTTATAAGCATTGGGAGCTCAGAACCTATCTTCCACCTTAAAGGGTGAAATACGAAATTAATAAATTAAAAAAAATGATAAAATGAATAAAAAGCGATACGCTTACATTTATGTGTAGATTTATCATATTTATTCTAAGGAAATCCCACAGTTGCAGCTGATTTGAAAAATTTTAAAGACATAAAGTATGCTAATAATCAGGGGCACCCATTGCAACGACGATTTCGTCCTAAATACATTGAAAACACTTTTTAAGCTATCCAGAGTACTTTTAGATATCTAGAAATGCATTCTAAGCGGCGCTGTAAATTTTGTATCTGTTTGGTCATCCTAGGGGAACTTGAGTCTTTTCGAAATTACAAGGGCTTGAGTATTATTTTCCCGAAAATTTAGATGAAATTTGACGTATTACGGAAGTGAGACATTTTCTAATTCCTCTCTCCACCACATTTTTGAATTCTATGAAAAATAGCCTAACTTGGGAAGAAAAATGCGAAAATTAAACTTCAGAAAATTTTAGGGAATTTACTAGACAAGCTTTGAAAATTGTACATGAATGGAACGGCCGTCTAGAAATTTTCAGCCGTCCTGAAGTAAGAGAAAATTCTAGGCAATATTTGCTTCTCGGAACAGATCATATTTTAAAGAAAACAGTCGTTGGGGGCCCCTGAATAATAAAAATTAACTATCTAATAAAGACGTCAAGATGTTTAACTGATGACTAAGCCCGCGGGTGACTTTTTCTGCTTTTCCATAATAACTGTCCGATCGCAATCGGGAGCGGTTCATTCCCGGCGAAGACCTTCAGTATGGCAAGTCGTTTAGCAGTGTTAGCGCTCTTGCTGGTGTGTGTTGTCTGGGGAGGTTGGCTAAACTACGTTGCAACTGCTCGCGTTGAAGGTGAGGTAAACAGATTCACCTGTTTTTCATTTTCAGGCATTTTCTTCGCTAACATCACTTAACCTTCTCATTTGCTGCAAAGATCTTCTTTGCAACTATTTCAGCTATTATATACACAAAAAGATCTTGTAGGGTCGCAATTTGACATGAAAGCTTAAAACTGAAAAATTTTGTCTGGCGCGCCGATGACCAACCGCCACCTGAACCGTGAGCCTGGAGTTACATACAACTTCAGTATGTTACGAATGCAAATTTTTCAGTGGGGCTTAGGCTAAGTTGGGATAGATCTGTAGATATTAACTTAACAATCAACGGAGATTTTGCCATTACGAGAGAAACTTTGAAGTTACCGTGTTCGGCGGACGTCTTCATTCCCAACCCCTTTAAAACACACGCTACGCCAGTGACTGTGGAGTTGCTATAAGTAAGCTTTGCGCGTCTAAAAGTTTGACCGGTTTCAAACTTTGGGCAACAACTCCCGACAACACTCAACAACATGCGTAAACATGCAACAGGGTGTCCAAACGGACGTAACATGTAACAACAAAGTACAATGTCGGGATTTGTTGGCCAACAATGTTGCCTCAGTTTGCACAGGGCTTAATAAATTAAATGATCCACCTCGTACAGCAAAGGGGTGTATCGTAGACCCATTCACGCTGATCTTTGTATTTCCTATTATCACAAATGTTAATTTCTCTTTTCTAATAAACGAGTAATATTATGAACTTTTTTGTACACTTGCAGGAAAAATTAAAAAAAAAAATACAGAATAAACGTCTTTAATAATATGCGTTTCTCAAGCCGTCTTAAATTTCCGCTTACGCTTCGTGCTGTTTATGTCAAGCAGCTGCAATGTCTGCGCTTACGTCATCTACACGACATAATGAAAACAAACAGCAGTGATGTAAATATATAACCAAAAGCTAATCAATAGTTTTTCACTTTTCTGCTGATACTTTATCCTTGGTTTAAATTTTATTTCCATTTTTTTAAAGGTATGATGATGGGAAATAAAATTTAAACCAAAGATCAAATTGAACCACACATTAAAACTGCTGGCATATACTATTTTATGAACTTTAAACAATTTCTAATCAGTTTACGTATAGTATAGTTTGCAATGTTCATCCTTAAAACTTTTTGTGTTTTCAAAATTTTGGAAAAACCTTTGTTCGGTTCTCCAAACACAATGAGCAGGTATCTTCGGATAGGAATATTAATTTCTGAATCCAATCAAGCATTTGTTGAGAATACATAAAGGAGAAATAAAAGGCTTGCTGGATAACTACTGTAACACTAACACGAGCATTAAAATCGCTTAAAATTGTATTTTTTATTATTTATTATTTTTTTGGCCGACCTATTTACAGTGAAAATTCAAGTCACATTGTGAATAATGAAAACTCACCTAAATACTTAAGATATTCATTCAATGCGGTAGTTTAAAATAGCCCCCTCTTTTAATAAACTTAATAATGAATTGGAACAAGAATTAATTAAAGACTGACTGGAACCAAAAAGGCGAACAATTGTAAACAACAATCAGTAAAGGCACTCGGTAGGTAAGAAAACAACTGGGAACTATTTGTGCAAACGTACTGAGTCAGGCCAGACCAGCGTACATGCTGCTGAACCGGAAAATAACGATTCAAGCTCCTGACAATGACTTATATTACAGCATGTATTTTTCTCGCGTCGAATATGCTTGGAATCGGTGCAGTAGCTTCTGGTAAGTGTTTCATGCGAGTTAACAATAGATTGAGTCAATAAGAAATAGTAGAAATCAGTCTGTACTTAAAATTGGAGTTCATGAGTTCAATATTCATGAAGAGACTGCAATGGTTATCTCAATAACAGCTCAGAAAAATGGATATTATATGGGATGCAAAGTTATTCAGATTGACGGCCTTAACAACGTAGTTGAAGCAAGAAGCTAAGTCATGTGTCGATCACTTAAGGCTCACATAACCAAGAACTGAAGGCCTAAAAACAGCTTAATTTTACACTGGCAAGGATTTCGTTGAGAAATCCAAAAACAATTAAGTAAATGTGTCTCTACAGTCTAGCTTCCCTTTTAAAGCAGAAAAAAATATATTTAAAAGAAAATAAAATGTGCTTACAGTTCAGCTTCCTTTTCAAATAGAGGAACTCTATTTAAAGAAAAAAGAAACAGCAGTATTTTTTTAGTAACAGCTCATTTTGATCTTTCAATGGTGACATTTGGGGCATATAAAAGGATCCAAGTTATTAGTCAGTCAGGAGTCAGTCGCATTTCGAATTTAGGTGTGTTCAATTGTTTGATAACTTATTTTATTCTAGAATAGAATCACTCTTATTTACAGGAAAGAAACCAGGGGAAAATTTGTTAAATAACGGAGGAAAATCAATTGTCGCATGACTGTCTTGTGTTTTAGGGATTAAAACCGTTTTCTGATACTTGCATGACTTTCTAGTATTCACTCGTGTAAGAAATACGGCAAAGAGTCGAATGTCGGATTGCTAATAAAAACTATCATTATGTAACGTGAATCGCGTATTAATGTTACCTCTCTTCAGACCGACGGGGTGCTTTGAGGCGCCCCTCATCTTAAAAGTTGAATAACTTCAAAACTGTGTACGTCAGGATTGACGTTACCTTGGCAACTTGGCAACAAAGTTTTGACAGCCAGTTCTCTTAGCAAAATTTGCATTAAAAACCGTTTTATTTCTAGATTTATTAAAATTATAAATTATAAATTATGAGTTATTACCTTACACTTTATTTAGCATTATTTAATCAAACTTATTAAAACCCTTTCCGAAGCGAGTCTCTCGGAATTTCATTACCAACAGATCTTCTGCTGGTAAAACATCAGTTCGTTTAAGTACAAAACAAATTTTCATTATTTCTGCGGTTTTAATTACAGAATATAACCGCATCATCAATTTCAAGGAACCGATAAACGACAAAGTTCTTCCTGGTCACGTGATAAGGACTGAGATGGTCCGAAACGAGGGAAGCTGCCGGGTGAAGTGCTTTTTGGAGCCAAACTGCGTATCCATCAACGAAGGGCCTGAAGTTGAGGGAACACGAACATGCGAGTTGAAAAATTTCACCGATGAAAGCGAAACACAAACTGGTTTGGAAGAAAAGAAAGGTTACATACATTTCGCTGTTGAGGTAATAAAGGATGAGGAGAATGAGTAAAGTTGGCCATTCACTAAATGTTTGTATAGCGAGTGTGTTATCTGTATTACAGTCACCTTTATATACATTAACACTTATTTTTTTATGCAGACTTTATGTGAGGAATAGGCTGAGCAACGCTGTTTCTCTTACCTTTATGTAACTCATTTATAAAAAAAATATCCAAAATTTGCGCTGATTGTCAATTTATGTAAGGACCTTTTAACTAGATAACTAGGAAAACATCAGTTTCAGTTACCTGCGGGTAAAGTTAAAACTCTCGCACTGATTCAAAACGGCGGCTTAAATGGTTTCCTATTTTCTTGAAAAGTGTGGCCGGAGGTTTCATGGAGTATTGAATAATATCAGGACCAGTTAATGTTTAAAAAAATTCATACAGATGTGTCAATAGACCAATTCCGATACATCAAAGTTCATACATGGCTCCGAGGCTTGGGGGAATAAAACAAATTAAAGAAATTATCTTGAGGCTCAGCAATGAATACACTGTGAACAATAAATTTCTTTTATTTTATTCCCCAATTCCTGCTGGGAGCCAAGTATGAATTTTGATATATTGAAAATGGTCTATTAAATCCCGAAATTAACATATTAATTCTCTGTCAATTTTTTTTTAACTGTTTTTTCAGAACTTTTGTCATCGTAGCCGTTGCCCTGGAAAGTACTTTCTGTGCCAAGTCGGGTTTACAAATAAAGGATACAGATGTTTCTGTCCCGAGGGTTTTAAAGGAGATCGATGCGATGAAGGTAATGTACACTCAATAGGCTTCAATCTCGTTCCCAGGTTCTCTCTCCTTTGGCTGATTGACTAAGTTTTGTTTCTGCAGTTTTATTCTCTTTTACTCCATTCTTACTTTCATGCATTCCCCCACTTCATCAAGATAAAGTTGATTGTCATGGATCATTTTACATTGCCATGCATGGTTAACAATTAAAAAAATGAAAACGAAAAGTTACGCCTTGATAAAATTAACTGGTCTGACCTCAACATATAATAGACGCAAAGACAAAGACAAATGAAGACCAAAAGTGTTTGTCGACGTGTTCAAATATCCACACACATGACCATGTACGTAAATGGCTCCATTAGTTCGATTTTTCAATGGATTCTTTTCAATTTTTTGTTCTGAGAAAATATGGTCATCGTCATCATCATCATCATTAACATCATCCTTATCATCATTATCATTATCGCCATCATCTGCATCAACATCGACAACATCGGCAAAATTTCTTTCACCTCATTATATATTCAACTTGGCAAAAGCTTAACTTGGACAATAGGGGCGGAAAAGGAACTATTATTCTTCGGCGGTGTCAGTTATAGTGTAGATGAGGTTCTTATCCTACCAGATTGTTCCTCATCCTCGGAGACCTAGTGGCAGTCAGTCGAGCCAGGAGAAAAGGCGCCACGAAAGTTTTCAAGCACAGGCGGAAGAGCCCCTTGATACCGACTCTCACCGGACCATTTCCAAACGGTCAAGTGAATGCTGGCTCCTGATTGGGCACAAAAAATGCTTTGTATTATTGCGCCCAATCGGCGAACAGTTTCTCGTGAGTTATTTTCGTGAGTTCGTAGACGATGGGTATTATGTCGCCACACTTTGCCGGTTCGTTCACCAAGCTTGTGCGTACAAGGGAAACTTCCATTTTCTACCTTCCTAACCAGAAACAAAGGGACTACCGATGAGTCGAAAAACGTTTCGGATGCTATCAGCAGGAACAATTCATTTTGCACTGAGAAAATTCTGTTTCTGACGGATCACAATGTATCGTAAATGATAGGAAGTTTAAGATGCGGCGGCGACGAGATAGTAAAAACGCAATAGCTTGACAAGGCAAAACAACAACTTTGCACGTGCATCACGCATTTTGCACATTTCTTTGCCGTCACTGCACGACTATCGCGTGAAAATGCCTAATTTCAGGTTTTTGTGAACGACGTAAACAAACAATGGCAAAATTTTCTTTCTCTTTATGAACTTGGATATGGTTGATAGAAAATCAGCTCCAGAACAGTTTGCTTGCATTTGACAAAGTAAGCGAGTTGGGATAATCACGATAGAGACTGGAAAAATGTGAATTCACTTTTCATGCGACGTTTTCGTGGCTGTCAGCTGTCGTGGAATCTTAAACTCCTTAATATTTACGAAGGCGTGATCGATGCAAGCGTGAATACCTGTTGTAAGCTCAAGCTTGTATTTTTGGAAAAGCGTCTACAGTTTTCGGTTAGACAGTGGCAGTCTTTACACTAGAGCCTAAGTAAGCTAAGAAATATTTCAAGACAAGTAAATTTTAATTACTTCAAGTAAAATAAAGCTTCACTCATAACCGATTCTTTTTTACTTCAGGTTAACTTTAATAAGGCTGTTTTCTCACGCAACATAATTAAGATTGATTGACATGTTTCGCCTTTCTCAAAGCTCAAGAAACCGCAAGTAACCGCAAACTTTAAGGATGGTTTTCAAGTCGCTTGAAACTTTCTTGTATCGTTTCAACTTTCCGACTTTAATGAGATGCAAAGTAAAGTTACTTGAGATTTTACTTAGGTCTTCACTCACGAATTTTTGGTTAAGTAAAACTTAGCAGCTCCTAAGTCTTACTTAACAGCCTAGTGTAAAGACAACCAGTATTTTGATATAAATTGTTTATATCAAACTGAAAGTTTCCTGACTGCGTGCATTTGTTCGGTGCATGAGCCAGACAAGCCGCGATCAAGTCAATAGTTGTCGCGTCATGTACGAACTCACGAAAAGAACTCAGGAGATGCTGTTCCTCAATTGGGCACAATAATACAAAGCATTTTTTGTGCCCTATCAGGAGCCAGCATTCACTTGACCGTTTGGAAATGGTCCGGTGAGAGTCGGTATCCAGGGACTCTTCCGCCTGTGCTTGAAAACTTTCGTCGCGCCTTTCCCCCCGGCTCGACTGACTGCCCCTGGGTCTCCGAGGATGATTGTTCCTGAGAACACCAAAGGTGAAGTAAAAATTAAAGAAGCGGAAAGAAATTTCAACTGGGACTCTTCAACAAGACATTCATGCTCCGAAGTCATTAAATTTTCCTAATCCAATACCACCCCGATACCAATGGTTTTGTAGGTGAAGTTTGGACCTCTGCATTTTCTATTAATTATTGCTATTATTAATTATTACAAGTGTGTCAATAACAAAACGCTTGAATCTCATTGGTCCATAACAGCCCATATTTATAGCTCAATTTTGCTAATTGAACTCCAAAACTGTGACCCGTCCGATTACCAGTAAAGAACCAATGAAAATCAAGTAGCAGATGCCATTTAAACCAATAAAACGTAACTACATAGCACATACCAATCAAAATCAATGAAAAAATAGTGACCAAGAAAAGAAAAATGGATGAAACTAGCTGGTCCAGTGACTTTTATTCAGATGCTTTGGAATCCTTCTCCGATCTTACATTAATAAATATTCCAAGACTGAGATTCTCGCATTTTGTTATTGACACAATTTATTGGTAATAGGACGTCGTGTCGTAAAATTCAGGGGTGCTACGCGCACGCTGACCTGAAATTACTCGCACGATTTCTCCCTGAATTGTACTCCACTCAGTCCTATTACCATTATTATTATTATTATTATTATTATAAATAGGGTATATATTTTAATATTCATATTCTTCAATCTGTAAATAGTCTATTTTTTTAAATCTATGAATAAAGTTTTATTTTATTATTATTATTAATTTTTCTTTTTTTTTGGGGGCATACCTATTGAGCGTTTTCGGTCACGTGGCCAGCATATATGCAAATTTATGAAAACAAAAGAAATTGTTAAGAAAGAGTTCAACTCCCTCAGGATTTGTTTGAAACGTCAACATGGCCACCGTGACGTCATGTGAAAACGCTCTATAAGGGGAAAACACATGGTGATGAAGATGCTTCAGAATTCATTGTTTTTCAGTCTACAAAAACTGTGCTGAGCTGTATGAAGCTGGTGTTCGAAACAGCGGTGTTTATACTATCGACCCTGACAATGCTGGAACCTTTGAAGTATACTGTGACCAAACAACAACCGGTGGGGGGTGGACTGTGTTCCAAAAGAGACTGGACGGATCGGTTGATTTCTACCGTGGCTGGGATGATTACGAACACGGTTTCGGAAATCTGAATGGTGAGTTTTGGCTCGGATTGGACAAGATACACCGCCTGACAAAAAAACCAAGCAAGCTTCGAGTAGAGCTTGAAGACTTTGGGAGCCAAACAGCTTACGCTGAGTACGACTATTTTGGTGTTGCTAATAAACAAAGCAAATACAGGCTCAGTCTTGGAAAATATTTTGGTAAGGATTCAGTTAAGGTGGCTCGACACAGTATTTTTCTAGGCACACCACACCATCTTCGAATCTCTTATACTATTTGACAAATTGATCTTTATTGTAAAACCATTATAACACATGTATTTACACAAAGACTCACACTTTATTATGATATTTTATAAAATAACGAACTAAAGATAATACGAGCGTTCTGACTGGTTAAAAACTTATGGTTTATTGTGCCGGTAAACTCATAGAAAACGTAAAGTTATTTTATAAAAGCAATAGACCACACTTACTATGGGTTTACCGGCGTGATAACGCACTAGGGACGTTGGGAGAACACTCGAAAAGCTTGTAAATCACTCGCCTTCGCCTCGTGATTTACAAGCTTTTCTCGTGTTCTCCCAGCATCCCGCGTGGGTTATCAAGCCGGTAAAACCATAGTAAGTATGGTCTATTGCTTAAATAAGTTTTTGGGCGATCGTAATAAACATCGCTTAACATCACGATAGTTTTAGTTTTAAATCGAATTTTAGACCATATTAGCTTTTTCTTTAAAAGAAATACTTTTAAGGCTACATATACTTTGGGTGTGCGAAGTTTCCCAAAAAATCTACTAGAGGAATTTCGAGATATTTTAGAATTTCTACAAAACAGTCCGGAATATCCCTAAATTTAAGGACAGGGCCAACTGGTCACGCGACACTTTTCAACCAATGAGAAGGCGCGCTTGTGTTTATCAACAAACAAATCAAAACATTGCCCCAGTGATCAAAAATTTTGAAAACAACGGACGGAGTCGGACAGAATCAGTCATCGTTTCGAGGTTCTCAGGCATATTTTTAAGACTTTTCATGAGGCATACAAAATTTTTTTAAGTGGACAGCGTATCGCAAGCCATATTGGAAGTGTCTCGTGAAATATTCAGCACATTTTGTGGCTTATTCTTCTTTTATCTTTAAAACAACGCGATGTATAGGAGAGATTTTGGTCGGCTTTCAAGGTAGGTGAACAAGTATCTATTATTTTTTCGATTCACAGATTTTTTACGAAGTTCTAGATATTTTTCCTCGATTGTCACATCGATTAACTTTTATCATGTTGAATGTGGGGATGGTAGACAACCTAGAATTTTGGAAGACAATTTTTGAATTCCGAGGTCCAAAACACATACTTTTTCCACTCCCGGGTTTCTCACAAAAGCCGTGTTATTACTTTTTTTCGCATTAGTACGAGCCTTTGCCTTTTTTCTTTTCAAGGCCAAAACAACTTTATTAGTCTTATGGATATGCACGTCCAACATCTCGCCTCACTTTGCCGAATTTGCGGGAATTAAATTGAACATCATAAGCGCGAGGTAGATACTAACCGCTTTGTTTCTGAAATTCACTAATCTGGAAAGATTTAATGTTGTTGGATTCTCCAAATGTTCATCCGCCGTTAAAAAACAATCAAAGAAACAAGGCAAATCTCAATTGTAAAGGCTGTATTTCGCTACTCATTGAACATGCACTGATTATCTGGGATAAAATTAAAACATTGCAGGTACTACAGCAAGCAAAGAAAGCACCAGATGCGTGAAGTCAACACGAAACAACACAAAAAAACAAACAAGAAAAATTAATAAATTTGAACTACTTTCTATTCTTGTTATGATGACTGGTTCTTTGATTCTTGTCCTGTAGAAGTTAGGTAGTACCAATGCTGTTTTGTACGATCTCAACAAATTTCACACTCTCTCAAAGGCTATTTTTACACGGGACGAGTTGCTTCTATCAAAAATCTTGCAAGCGATGCCAGTGAAGCCACGACCTCTGCGATCGGTCCGGAATCAGTTCGAACACCCGAATGATTCCTTGCAATGTTTAATGCTCTTATTCTCTTACATGACATGTTTTCTTTGAAATATTAAATGTGAAACCTAGACGAGTACTGTAAGCTCATCTTTAATTCTGTCAGACTCCGTCCGTTGTTTTGAAACTTTTTGATGACTGGGGCGATGTTTTGATTTGTTTGTTGATAAACACAAGCGCGCCCTCTCATTGGTTCAAAAGTGTCGCGTGACCAGTTGGCCCTGTCCTTAAATTTAGGGATATTCCGGACTGCAAAAAGGGTATAATTGGGGATTCATGAACTTAAAACTGAACTTAATGCAGACAAATTTGTTACTTTTTAGATGTTTCCGAAAAGTTTTTATCACTTATTACTCACAGTTTGCAAATGATCCTTACACATTCTACACTGACACGGCTTAACGAACGGCCATGCTATAACTTAACCTAAGTTTTCAAAGGTGAACATACTTCCTAACCGAAAACACACATCAAGTTATTTGGTTAAAAACTATTAATATAAAGTCGAACCTCCATGTGCAACATCATCTTTACCATAAGCAAATATAACCACCACCTCTTCTAAGCAACCCCAGCCATAAGCAAATATAAAAAAGCGACTTCATTTGCAAAAGACCAAAATTTTCCCAGTGAAAGCCCTGTAGTTGTAACCTCTTGTCAAAGACCACCTCTGGTGAGCGACCATGACCACGTTTATCGGTTAGAGTTTTAAAATTTTCCATTGTTTTTATCCTGTTGTAGTTAGGTGAGTCAATTTACCCATGGTCTGACCTCTATGTTGGCAGCATGCATGAACTACGCCACCAAGAGTATGCGAAGTACTTTTAGAGACAACATTGGGTTACAAATGTACATATAGTAACTTAGAGGCTGTTTGTACAGTGGAAGCTCTCGTAAACCGTCTCCTTCACGACGCGAAAAAGGTGACGCCCGTAAACCGTAACTGGAGCTGGCCGCTAATGGGAATGTCAAAATACAAAAAACGGGGTTTTGTGAAGACGGCCATAAGAAGATAGAGCCGTCCTCGTACGAGAGTGTCCGTTAGGAGGGCTTCCACTGAATAAATTCTTTACCAAAAGGTAGATGTCTCGGGACCACTTCTCGAACGAGACTCTTGTTAAGTTTGATTCTCGGAAGCCGCCACTAAATTGTTCGCGTTCTGAGTGTTCACTTACCCACGGGAGGTTTGACTGTAGTACAAGAGAGGATAAAGGGGACAGACAAGGCATTCTCCACTCACACCCTATTCCATAGGTAATTCGTCTCCAGTTATTTTTAAGACCACAGATCCCAAGGGGGATTAGACAACAGCCAATCACATAGCGCGAATATGTTCCGCGTGGATGACCCAGGCTCAGAGCCACGCGTCCTTCACGAATTGAGGCAGAAAAAAATGGCGGAAGACGCGGAGAGCAATATTGCTTTTCGTTTTGTCGAAGAAAACGACTGAAGAGAGATTTCTGCTAAAGCTGTGTCAGCGAAACGGAAATTAAAAAAGAATCGCCCTTCCTCTCTTGTATAGAGCTAACAGTACAGCAGGGAAATCCTTAACACAGTGAATATTCTCTCAGGATCATTTGTAATTTACAGTTTGGAGAGAGCAATTTCTGGTTTGATGTTTATTCTTTTATTAGTCTTTTATTAGTCAACCAACAAAAATAACACTTGGCGTCCTATAATAATAATGATAATAATTTAATAACTTCTAGAGCGCTATTTACATTCACAGATCAACAGCGCTTAACAACTTAAAAAAACTACAATAAAATTCAAATTTGTAAAACTAGTTACATGTACATGAATATTACTTGTTACTTGCTTTATTGTACAAACGACCGGTTTCAATAGACCGGCGAAATTTCTCATTTTATTAAAGCACTGAGGTTACGATAACTTCCAGTTAAACTGATTTCACGGGTTGTCAAAGAGTCGAGCGATTCCCTTTTCCCAGGTGAGCGCCGACTCATTTCGCTTCAATATTCAGAAATGCTCTCGATCTCTTTACGCTTTCATTGCCTTTCGCCCGACATGTTTTACATGGTGTTTAGTCATGCGATACCTCCACGAAACATCCACGCAGCGCGCGAGGTAACTTTATCCCGATTCTAAAAATAACTCGAGACGAATTACCTATGGAATAGGGTGTGTATGGGGGATTCCTTCTCTGTCCCCTTTATCCTCTCTTGCTGTAGTAGCATTCCTATGATCATTGGACATAATAACAAAAAATGAAGCGGATAACTAAAGATTTAATTTACGATACAAGAACAAGATGACATGGAATCGAAGTTGGTCTAGTTGGTGGTCTTTCTATACGATAAATTTAAAGTTTATACCCGTTTAACACTTAATTCAATCCGCAATTAACCCTAAATACTAAAAATATTTGGTAAATAATTATACTTTCAGGACTGAACACTAACCCATTTGCACCCTACTAGATCGAGGTTTTATAAATATTGATGTTCTTTACCTTAACTTTGCATGCAGGAACTGCTGGCGACTCCCTTAGCTATCATCATGGTATTGTGTTCTCCACCAAAGATCAAGACAACGATTATAGTCCCGATACCAGCTGTGCCACAAAATTCAAAGGGGCCTGGTGGTACAAAGGTTGTCATAAATCTAATTTGAACGGTTTCTATCGTCGAGGCTACCATCACGAATTTGCTGTCGGTGTAAACTGGGAGGCATGGAAGGGTTACCATTACTCTTTTAAGCGAGCTGAGATGAAAATCAAACCAGTTAGAATCTAAAGTAAACATTCAAAAAATGACCTTTCTAAATAAGTTAAGATAGTTCTTTAAAGATAGCCAAAGAATAGTTCTACTGTTACCGATTTCGACGCCTGACAGAAGTCTTTTTCATACCTAGCGCTAATGGTGCAAGGAGTCTTAAATAGGCTCTTGTGGGTGTTGATTTTGGAAAACGAAGACATGCACAGTCACTCTTTCGAGCGCCGCCACGTCCCGTTCACTTTAGTTTATTTCACCTTTATTCCTAGCTGAACGAATTCTTCAAAAAAATTGCCCCATGTAAGGGCATCTAAATTCCAGAATCCGTTAAATTTTTGCGTTTGGAATCTGGAATCCGCGCCGGAAATTTTTTCTTGCGGAATCCAGAATCTCATTAACGATTTACTTACTCACTTACTTAATGGCCTTTTCCCAAACTGGTGTATTTTGAAGTATCTACGAAGAACG